AGCGTGGTAAGTGGTGATAGAGGCCCGAGAACAGTAGGCCTGGAGGGCGACAGTGGAGTCTCTGGGTGGGGCAGAGGTAAAATGATTTCTCCTTTAGGCTCTAAAGAGGACCATTAACTCAATAAGAGAACTAAGCACCTCCTGTGTGCCAGCCACTGCGCCAGAGTCTGAGCTCAATCAGGCCCAGTACTGATGGAGAGTTGAAGCTAAGGCATAAATGTGATACAAAGTAGAAAGTGGATGAATTGCCTTGTAGAGGGACAGGGAAAACACCTCAAGCACAGAAAGAGCAGAGCAGGAAAGGAGATGGCTCACGGCTGAGGTGGGCCAGGCATCCTGACCATTCTACCCACTTTCTCCTCTTTTTAGCTCTGAATGCCCAGGCTGCCCTCTCCCAAGCTCGGGAGCACCAGCTGGCCTCTGCCTCAGAGCTCCCCTTGGGCTCTCGACCTGTGCCGCAGCCCCCAGTACCTCGTCCGGAGCACTGTGAGGGAGCTGCAGCAGGACTCAAGGCAGCCCAGGGGCCACCCACTCCTGCTGTGCCTCCAAATACAGATGTCATGGCCTGCACACAGACAGCCCTCTTGCAGAAGCTGACCTGGGCCTCTGCTGAACTAGGCTCTAGCACCTCCCTGGAGACTAGCATCCAGCTGTGTGGCCTTATCCGCGCATGTGCGGAGGCCCTGCGCAGCCTGCAGCAGCTGCAGCACTAAGAGAAGCCCCTGAGAAAAACCCTCTAGAAAAACAGCTGTTCCTCTGTGTGGTTTGTTCTTTTCCTGGTTCCGAGTGTGCATGCCAGCCCCAGCTGCACTCACGTTTTTCCTACTTTTGGCCTCTCACCTCTCCACTCTCTGCTCTCCTTGACGCCCTGAGATGAGTTGAACTTGTTTCTGCTCAGTTTCCCGTCAGGATGCGGGAGTAGGTAGATGACTATGTGATGCACCTTTTCTAAGGAAGAGGTGATAGCCTTTTCAAAGGTAGCAGCCAGAGGGGTGGACCCTAGCCTTGTGTCTGGCAGCACATCTGCAGCCTCCTCCGCCATCCGGTGCCCATTCCCCACCTGGAAGTGAGATTTTGGGTTCCAATCCCCTTGATAGATTCCGCTCCTTTCCCTGAGCATCCTGACCCTATCAGCCTATTCCATCTCATGGCCACCCCAGGTACTCAGCGACAGGAGTTTGTGGTGGCCTCAGCGTCAGGTGGCACGTTAGGCACCAACTGTGGACTTGCCAGTCTCCTGATTCCACTGTTAGATCATTTTTCTTGGGAGGGTAATGGGCAGAACACAGTGTGTGTGGGGGCGGGGCGCGGCGGGCAGACGGGGTAGCGAAAAGAACCACGAAGAAACCACGCCTGCCCCCTTCGGCCTTTTCCCCCCTCCGCCGCATTTTTCCATCTCCCCTTGAGTGAGTGGGTGCCCCGCTGTCTTTTTCTCAGCTTTACGCGACGTGGTCCCACAGCCGTTGCCTTTTTAAGAGAGGCCCGGCCCATGCGGAGGGGGTGGGGCAGAGGCGGAGTCTGAGGAGCTGGGGAAGGAACAAAGCGCGGCCTGCGGGCGGCGGCTGGGCTCCGGCGGGGCCGCGGGGTGCGGGGCCTGCGGGCAGCGTCCGGGGCGCAGTGTTGGGGAGAAGGAGGTGGCATCGCCGTCCGTGGCCATGAACGGGCTGCCCTCGGCAGAGGCGCCGGGCGGGGCAAGCTGCGCCTTGGCCGGGCTCCCACCGCTGCCGCGCGGCCTCAGCGGCCTCCTTAATGCGAGCGGGGGCTCGTGGCGGGAGCTGGAGCGCGTCTACAGCCAGCGCAGCCGCATCCACGACGAGCTGAGCCGCGCCGCCCGCGCCCCGGACGGGCCCCGCCACGCCGCCGGCGCCGCCAACGCGGGACCCGCAGCCGGCCCGCGTCGTCCTGTCAACCTCGACTCGGCGCTGGCCGCGCTGCGCAAGGAGATGGTAAGTGGGTGGGCGCCGGGCCAGCTGGGCGGGGGGCTGATGCGGAACGCAGGGGACTGGGACAGGCGGCCTGGGTCTCAGAGGACTTTCAGGCACCAGTTGGGTTCCAAGGGTTATGGTAACAATAATTAGTGATAGTTAAAAATTATGGCAGTAGTTACCATATATTTTCAAATGATCTGCTGATGTTACTTCATCCTGCTAAATGGATAATAACCCCATTTTTTGGGTCGTGACTAAAGTTGCACAGCTTGCAGGTGTACAACTTTAAAGTTGCACTGCCAAACAAAAAAAAAACTTTGTTTAGGAAGGTGCGGGGAAGATGGGCTGGGGCCCACTGTTCCAGGGGGCAGGGCTGGGCTGGGTTGGGGTGGCCTGGACCCCAACTCCAGCCCACCCTCAGTTGTCTGCAGGTGGGGCTGCGGCAGTTGGACATGTCCCTGTTGTGCCAGCTGTGGGGCCTGTACGAGTCAATCCAGGACTACAAACACCTGTGTCAAGACCTGAGCTTCTGTCAGGACCTGTCATCCTCCCTCCATTCGGACAGCTCCTACCCACCGGATGCGGGCCTGTCTGACGATGAGGAGCCTCCCGATGCCAGCCTGCCTCCTGACCCACCACCCCTCACTGTGCCCCAGACGCACAATGCCCGTGACCAGTGGCTGCAGGATGCCTTCCATATCAGCCTCTGAAGAGCTGGGGGGCAGGGGGCACGCACCCATGCAAAAGGCTCAGAAACTTCCCCCTCCGGCAAGCCCTCAGACTGCGGAGCCTGCGCCTTCCCCCATACCACCTCACCTCACAGGAGGGCCAGGCATGTATTCCTCAGAGGCGAAACTGCCAAACCCTTTCTCCTGTCTTGGGTTGACTGGCACTGGGGCGGGTACCTAGGGTACAGCCTCTGCCCATGGTACTGGGCCTCCACTTCTTCCACATGTGTGCACCCCCAGCTTGGCCAACCCTCAGCCTTGCAGTGGGGCCCGAAGCATCTTCCCCTCCCCTTGGCATCTCTGGGATTGGGATGAGTGCCTCGCTCCCATCTCCTCCTCACCTTTTGTTGCTATCGGCAGCTGCTGGCTCAGGGGCATCCCACCTCCGGGCTCTGGGTTCCTCTGCCCTGGTAGGGCTCCAGGACCTGTCCCAATACCCACCCATGGCCAGGAGGGCCAAGGCCCCGTGCTGGATATTTAAATTTAGGGGCCGGCCTCCAGGGCGCGTAGATAAATAAATACTCTCAGCGTCGTTGTACTCTGCCTGGCTGGCTCTGGGGCGGGAAGACCGCGGCGTTCTGGCAGGTGCGGCCCCGCGCTCTGCCGGCGGGTGGCGCCCGAGACCCCCGAGTGAAGGTCCTGCCGTCCCGCCCGGGCGGGGCTGAGGGCGCTCCCGGCTGGCCGAGCTTGGCTCAGCCGTCCGGGTGACTGCGGTCGAGTCACTTCCCCTCTCTCGCCCGCGACCTCCGAGTCCTCCGCCTCCTCCCAGTTCGCTTCGGGCTTTCCCCGCCGGGAAGGAAGGAGAAGGAGCCGCCCACCTTGAGGAGGGAAACTTTCCACCCCGCGCGGGGCGGGGTTGGGGCGGCGCAGGAAATGGGTGGCCGGAGTCGGCTGAGCCAGGGGCCCCGGCGGGGGCGGGGGAGGCGCCTCCTGGAACGGTTTGGGAGCTCACAACCCGCGGGTGGGAGGGAGGCGCGGCAGAGGCAGAGCGATGTGAAGTTGCGGCACCTCGGGCTTTCCCGGAGGCCAGGCGTGAGAATCCGCGGCGTTGAAGGTTGATGGGGTCCCAGGGACCCGTATTCCCCGCTTAGTCTATGAAGACCGCCGGCTCTCCCCACAGCACTAGCGGTCTTTACAGTTATCTGTTAAAGGTTTCTTCTTAGGAAACCGGGGACCCACACCGCTGGGACTGGGAACCAAACCCAGGTGTCAAGCCCACCGGAAGAAGTCAGCACGTTCGGAGACAGTGGGTACTCAGCCCCGCACACGCGCACACGACACCCCACAACCTCCTGAAAAGAGGCGAAGCCGCACACCGAGGTGTGTGGTGCCTCCTGGAGATGCAGCCCAGCTGGCAGTCCTGGCACTCTGACGCCCCGTTAAACCAAGTAGCCGTCACGCACCGGGCTCCTGTTCATTCACACACCTTGCAGAGCAGCGGGAGGGAGCAAACTGACCTGTTGCCCCAGGGCAGCTGACACCTGCAGAGGCTCATTACCATGCAGGGCTGGTGGGTAAGCGATAAAGGCTCTAATCTAGGGGTTCACAGAGCCGCTAACGCCCCAGGCAGGCTTTCCTGGGGAGGGAGAGTAAACATACACACAGAAATGACACATTTTCCCCATCCATGATAGCTCATCCCATTTAGTAAGGCACGGCAAAATCAGCCAGGCTTTCTGCTAAATGCTTTCTGAGGTTCGTGCTCTCAGTGATTCCCTAAAAGGCGGAACTATAATTATCCCCATTTAATAGACATTGAAACTGAGGCTCAGAGTGTTAGCGCTTTGCCCAAGGTCACACTTGGTTGGAAGTCAGTTGGGAATCTGCAGTTACTTGTCGGGGTTTGGGATTATCTTCCCACTCGACAGCAGTCAGGTTCTGAGGTTGGGCCCCCGAGGTTAGTCCTGACTCGATGCCTTCCTGCTCTGGTTAAGACGTGGGTGGCTGCACCATGGAGTAGAGGAGAGCTGGTCCTCGCCCAGATTCACAGTATGACTCTGAGCAAGTCCCTTCCCCTTTCTGGGTCTCAGTTTTCCCAGCCCGTGAAAGGGGGCCAGCAGTACATACCTCCCAGGGCTGCGGGCAGGAAGGGAGGCGGCCCGGGTAGCGCTCTCTAGGGTGGCACGAAGTTGCTGGTTGCCCTCTCTCGGGGTCCACGCAGCCTCTGCGCGCCCCGAGCGGGCACTGCGGTCGGGTGACACTCCCTCCACGTCCCCCCCGCCCCCGCTCCTGCTGTCTCTCCCGGGTCGCTGCGCGAGGCCCCGGAAGCCGGGTCGCCCCGCCCCCCGCGCTCCTGCCCCGGCCCCCGCCCCGCGCTGGAGCCCCGCCCGCCTTCCGACGGGGGTGCGGCTCCAGGAAACGGCGCGCTCCCAGCTCTGCGCTCGGCCACCCGACGCGCCCCAGACGACCCCGCCGATTCAGCCAGACCACCCGGCGGGCCCCAGCGGTGGCAGCGGAGAGTGCAGTCCCCGGTCGGAGTCTGGGACACCTCCGCACGGACGGGGCGGGCGGCGCGGACAGGCCATGGGGACCCGGGCCGGGCCAGCAGTGGCGGGCCAGCGGGAGCCCCGGGCCTGAGAAGTGGGCGGCCGGGCGGCGGGGGCCATGACCTCGGTGTGGAAGCGCCTGCAGCGCGTGGGCAAGCGGGCGGCCAAGTTCCAGTTCGTGGCCTGTTACCACGAGCTGGTGTTGGAGTGCACCAAGAAATGGTGAGTGGGAGGGAGCCCAGGGGTCTCCTCCGAACTGGGACCTCATCCAACCCTTTGAGTCTGAGAGGATTCTGCCCCCCAGCCCAATGACCAAATGGGCCCCCACCCCAGCTTGGGCCCTGTTTCTGTTCCCAGGCTTGGAGATTCAGAAGTGCCCTTGCAATTTGTGGGACCCCTGGAGTTGGGGGTGTGGGCAGCCTTCCCTGCGCGGGGCTCAGGACTTTCAGGCCTGAGGTTCTGCCTGTGTCCACTCCTTCCTCAGCTGCGGTCAGGGTTGGGGGAGGGAGGCCGCGTGTCTTGTGCCAGAAAGGTGATTCAGGGTGGCATTGGAAAAGGGATGAAGTTTTGAGGTCTGCAGGTGGCTAGGGCTGGGGCAGGAACCTCCCTGACCTTACTTAGTCCAGCTAAGAACAGAGATGTTGCCCCCTCCTCCCCTGTCATCTTGTTGAGCCAGAAGAACCCCTCTAACTCCCGCCTCTTCAGCTAGAGTGCTGGGAGGCTGGAAACATCTCCACAATGTCCTTAAAAGGGGAAACTGAGTGCTGGGAGGAATGAGGAGGGAGGCGGGGAGCAGCTTAAAGGGGCCTGAGGACCTAGGAGGTTGTGTGTCCGGGATGAGAGGGTTGTGGAGGGCAAGGTGGGAGGGTGAGGGGTGATTCACGAGAGGGTGCAGGCCCCAGCCCGGACTACCAGCAGGCTCAGGGGCATCTCGTTCACATGCCGCCACCCATAGCTGCCCAGGCCCCTGCGTCACACCCTAAATATACGTGCTCGCTGGTGTCAGCTTCCCTTGGCTGGATTAGGGCACAGCTGTGGGGGCCTCACCCCCCAGATGGGGCTAAATTTAGGCTCCCCAGGGGAAGGGCTGGGGCAGGAAGGGACCATAGGGTCCAGGGGGAGGGGAGTGAGCAGGAGGCTGGGGTCCCTTGGGCAGCTGCCATATCCCTGGCCTTGCCCACACTGGGCCTGCTAGAGGGCTATTCACATCTTTCAGCAGAGCCCGGGAGAACTTGGGGGCTGGCACTTGAACTCTGGCCTCTGGCTCCTGCTCCAGCATCCTGCGGGAGGCCAGGGAAACGCTGGGCACAGCAGGCTGAGGGTGCCGGCAGTGTCAACGCAGCTGAGTCACAGGCGGCTGTGGGTAGGGCCTCCTGGGCTGCTTAGCCTGGAGCCCAGGCCGGGAAGCTGCCCCTGCCCAGGTTGCAGCTTCCCAGGAGGGTGTGCGCAGCCTGAGTCAGGCTGCCCAGCCAAGCCCCGCCCTCCCTAGGCACCCCCTGTCCGCTTCCCCTTTCTGGGAAGGCCCCTTAGTTACCCTTGCTCTGCCATCGCCAGCAATCTGGGCTTGGGGAAGGGAACTTGGCTCAGGGCTGGAGGGCTCTAGGCTCAACCGTGTAACCTTGTTTGGCTCCAAATCTGTCTAGGCCTCAGCATCCTCAGGGTTAACAGAGAGCCAGTTATCCTGGCTTGGCCCCTAGAGGAACAGTGAGCTGGGCAAACCCAAGCGTCTGGCATGGGGCTGGGTACAGGCAAGGCAAGATTGTGTGCTGCCCTCGGCCGGATTGTCCCCTCAAGCATCACCCCTCCTGGGTAGCAGTTGAACATCTAACCCAAAGGGGCCTTCTGCCCCCAGGCCCAGCCCTGAGTCCACTCAGTGCCTGAGAATGGGCCCTGCGTGGCCATCTCTGTCCTCTTGCTTTGCCTCTGCCTCTCCTCTGACCTGGCATATATGCTGTTCAGTTTAGATGTCACCCCTGGAAGTCTTCCCTGATTGCCCCCCAGGCTCCACTGTCAACATCTCGCTGAAAACTGATCCTCCTTGGGACCCCTGGGCCCAGCAAAGGGCTGGACATGGCGGGCGAGGGATGGCAGTGTTGGTTAATGACAAGCTGACCCTCTACTGCCTCTCTGGCCTCACCCCCAACTCTCTGCCCCTCTCTCTGACGCCACCCTCCAGCCGCAGACCCTTGGACTTGCCATTCCCTCTTTCTCCAGATCCTCACACAGCCCATCCCCCTGCCACTCATGTCTCTGCTCAGACACCCAACCTCAAGGAGACCCCCAAGGGGTTCCCTCACATCACCCTGAAGTTCGCTTGTTAATTTATTTTCTTTCTTGACTGGTAGTCTGCCCCCACCTCCATTGTCCTCATCGGAAAGGTCTTGCCCCTCTTTTGCCCGCCTCTGTCCCCAAAACTGGGTTGGGTTTATGGTGGGCGCTCCACAAACATCTTTGCGCGAAGGGACTTCTTTTATCCCTCGTCTTTGTCTCCCTGTGTCGGAGTCTGCGTGTGTACACAACGCTCAAGTGCGCATCTGTGTCTGGCATCTCTTACTGGGTCCTTGTGTTTCTGTGTGTCTTGGTCTCTGAATGTGCCTGTCCCTGTCTCTTGCTGTCTTTCCTCATAGTCCCTGCGTGCCCACACTGTCTGGGCCTTTGCCCTTCTGCTGTGGCCCCACCCTGCCTTAGCAGCTCCACCCTGCACCCTGTGGCCCCAGATAAAGGGCTGCCCAGGCCCTCTCCTGGAGGAGGGAGAGGTGGGCAGAAGGAAGACCCTGAGGGAGCTGGGGGAGGAGGAGAAAGAGGAGATGGGGAGGCGGGTGAGCCTGACCAGGCAGCCCACTCTCTTTCCCCCTCCCCCTCCCCCTCCCCCAGGCAGCCAGATAAGCTGGTGGTGGTGTGGACCCGGCGGAACCGACGCATCTGCTCCAAGGTGGGGAAGGATGGCAACTGGGGATCCAGGTTAGGGATGGGGGCCAGTGGGAAGCTGATGGGGGCTGATGGGGGAGTGGAGTCAGGTTCAAGTTCAGATCAGAATCCACAGAGGAGAGAGGAAGATGGTGTCAAGGTTGGTGATAGGGCAGGTGTGGGAGGGAAGAGTTAAGATCGGGGGAGGACTCAGATTGCCCCTTGTAGGCCCACAGCTGGCAGCCGGGCATCCAGAACCCATACCGGGGCACCGTGGTGTGGATGGTACCTGAGAATGTGGACATCTCCGTGACCCTCTACAGGGTGAGTCTCTAGCCCTCCAGCATGAATGGCAACAGGGCAGGCAATTGCAACACGGGCAGTCACCCGGGTCTCCTGGTAGGTTGTTCATCCAGATAGAAGAGGATGCGGGGGGTGAGGCCAAGAATTAGGGGGGCCTGCTCAGCATGACTGGCCCAGGAGGTCTCCTTGGAGGAGGCAGCATTTACCCAACACATGCAGCATGAGAGGCAGCTGGGACCAGAACCTGGGGTGCATCCCAGGAGGAGGTAGCAGCATGTGTAAAAGCCACCACCGCATGCACCTGTAATCCCAGCTCCTTGGGAGGGTAAGGCACGAGAATTGCTTGAACCTGGGAGGCAGAGGTTGCAGAGAGCCAAGATCGCACCCTAGCCTGGACGACAGAGCAAGACTCCATCTCAAAAAAAAAAAAAAAAAAGCCACCACCACCAAGCACCTCCTGAGCCAGCACAGGCTCTGCTCCCTTTGCTGCCGCCCCAGCAGCCGTGTACTCACCAGCACTCCTTCCCAGGACCCCCACGTGGACCAGTATGAGGCCAAAGAGTGGACATTTATTATTGAAAATGTGAGTGTCTGGAGTGGGCTTGGGTCTGGAATCTTGGGGACCCTGGGACAGCACTGATGCTCCTTCCCCTGGTCTCTCCTCTGGCCCACAGGAGTCTAAGGGGCAGCGGAAGGTGCTGGCCACGGCCGAGGTGGACCTGGCCCGCCATGCAGGGCCCGTGCCTGCCCAAGTCCCGCTGAGGCTGCGGCTGAAGCCGAAGTCAGTGAAGGTGGTGCAGGCTGAGCTGAGCCTCACTCTTTCCGGGGTGTTGCTGCGGGAGGGCCGTGCCACGTGAGTGCCTACCTGCCCTCCTTGACCCTGGCCTGTGACCTCTAACCCCCACCCTCACCTTTAACCTCTGCCCCCCAGGGACGATGACATGCAGAGTCTTGCAAGCCTCATGAGTGTGAAGCCTAGTGATGTGGGCAACTTGGATGATTTTGCTGAGAGTGATGAAGACGAGGCTCATGGCCCAGGAGCCCCCGAGGCCCGGGCTCAAGTCACCCAGCCAGGTGGGCTCACAGCCTGCTGTGGATCCAGACTGCCAAGACCTGGAGAGGGAGGGTTTCCCGGGCCACCAGCCACTTGCTGTGCCCGCCGTGTGATGGGAACTCATAACTGCCCAGGCAGTCCCAACCAACCCGGCAGCCTCAATTGTCCCAACCTGGCTGCTGGTTCCGTGATGGCCTTAGTCTTCAACGGAGTCCTGGAGGATGGGTTCCCAATGTCTCCCTGGGCTCCTGGGTCCTCTTCTCATCCCTGTGTGGTGCTTGCCAGGCCCGTACCTGACCCAGGACAGCTGGCTCAGAAGCCCCGCTCCTGATCCCTCACCACCAGCCCTCCTGGGCCAGCTGGGGCTTCCTCATCCCTCCCCGCTGCTTGTCCAGGCTTTTTCTCTGTCCACTATTGTGGTTCTCTCTCTCTTTCTCTCCACATCTGTGGGCCTGTCTCTTCTCGCAGGCCGGGGCGGTGCCCTGAGGCCGGGGCGTTTCCCAGGTAGGCCCTGCACCGTAGTTGGGGGAGGGGGTCAGGCCTGCAGGGCCCTGCCCTGGGCTGACTCTGCCCTTCTGCCCTCTCCTACCACCCCCAGATCCCTCTCGAGAGCTGAAGACGCTTTGTGAGGAGGAGGAGGAAGGTCAAGGACGACCCCGGCAGACAGGTGAGACCCAGGCTGGGGTTGGGGGTGGAGACCGGACCCCATGTCACTGGGCCCAGGCCACAGCATCCCCCACTTTCTTCTCAGTTGCCAGCCCTTCTAATGCTGAGGATACCAGCCCAGCCCCTGTGAGTGCTCCTGCACCCCCGGCCAGAGCCTCCCGAGGCCAGGGGCCAGAACGAGCTACTGAAGCCGGGGGCCAGGTGGGCCCTGAGGCCCCAAGGCCCCCGGAAACCTCACCAGAGATGAGGTGAGCTTTGGAACCAGCCCCACCCCCATTGCCCCCTGATAGGAGCCGCAGTCCTCACCCCACCAACCTGCCTCTCCAGGGCCCCAACAGTCTGAGGGGTGGGGGATGGTGCTGAGATTTGGGGCCACAGCAGCCCCCCAACTCCCCCTCCTGCTTTCTTCTCAGGTCTTCAAGGCAGCCAGGCCAGGACACGGCCCCAACCCCAGCCCCTCGGCTCCGGAAAGGCTCTGATGCCCTCCGGCCCCCAGTCCCCCAAGGGGAAGATGAGGTTCCCAAAGCCTCAGGGGCTCCTCCAGCAGGATTGGGCTCTGCTAGGGAGACCCAGGCCCAGGCATGCCCTCAGGAAGGGACAGAAGCCCATGGAGCTAGGCTGGGCCTGAGCATTGAGGATAAAGGCTCTGGAGACCCTTTTGGAGGGCAGAGAGTCAAGGCTGAAGAGATGGGCACTGGGGACAGTCCAGAGGCCAGTGGGGTGGACACTGAGCCCAGGTCAGGAGGCAGAGAGGCAAACACTAAGAGGTCAGGAGTCAGAGCTGGGGAGGCTGAAGAGAGTTCAGCAGTTTGTCAAGTGGATGCTGAGCACAGGTCAAAGGTGAGACATGTGGACACTAAGGGACCAGAGGCAACAGGGTTGATGCCTGAGGCAAGATGCAGGGGGACCCCTGAGGCTCCTCCAAGGGGCTCTCAGGGGAGGGTGGGAGTCAGGACGATGGATCAGACTGTAGGGTACTCTGGGCAACTTGGTGACCTGAAGGGGGCCAGGGCTGCTGCAGGCCAGGAGAGAGAGGGTGTAGAAGTGAGGGGCAGAGCCCCTGGCATTGAGGGGACAGGCCTGGAGCAGGGCCCCTCTGTTGGAGCAGTAAGCACCAGGCCCCAGGTGAGCAGCTGGCAGGGGGCCGTGTTATCACCTGCCCAGGGGGCAATATCCAGGGGTCTGGGAGGCTGGGAGGCAGAAGCTGGGGCTTTAGGGGTCCTGGAAACAGAGACTGAGGTGGTAGGGTTGGAGGTGTCAGGAACCCGGGAGAAAGAAGTTGAGGGGTCAGGGTTCCCAGAGACTAGGACACTAGAAATTGAGATACTGGGGGCCTTGGAGATAGAAGCAGTAAGATCAAGGGTCCTGGAGTCAGAGCTTGCTGGGACAGGACAGTGTGAGGGACTGGAGACCCAGGAAACAGAGGTGGGGGTCATAGAGACCCCAGGGACAGAGACTGGGGCGGCAGAATCTGAGGTACTGGGGACTCAGAAAACAGAGGCTGGGGGTTCAGGAGTTTTGCAGACAAGAACTAAGATAGCAGAGACTGAGGTACTGGGGACCCAGGAGATAGCTAGGGATTTGGGGCCACTGAAGATAGAAGATACGATAGCAGAATCTGAGATGCTGGGGACCCAGGAGACAGAGGTGGAAGCTTCTAGGGTACCAGAGACAGAGGCTAAGAGGACAGAGGCTAAAATATTAGGGACCCAGGAGATAACAGCTAGGGATTCAGGGGTCCCAGAGATAGAAGCTGAGATAGCAGAGTCTGATATATTGGTAGTCCAGGAGATAGAGGTGGGGCTTTTGGGGGTTCCGGGAATAGAGACTGGGACAGCAGAAGGTGCGATATTGGGGACCCAAGAGATAGCATCTAGGGATTCAGGGGTTCCAGGGATAGAAGCTGATATAACAGGGATTCAGGGGAAAGAGGTTGGGGGTTCAGAGGTTCCAGAGATAGAGACTGGGACAGTAGAAACTGAGATATTGGGGACCCGAGAGATAGCATCTAGGAGTTCGGGGGTCCCAGGGCTAGAATCTGAGGTAGCTGGGGCCCAGGAGACAGAGGTGGGGGATTCAGGGATCTCAGAGGCAGAGGCTGGAATGGCAGAGGCCCAAGTACTGATGACTCAAAAGACAGAAATTATAGTTCCAGAGGCTGAGAAGGAAGAGGCTCAGACTTCGGGGGTCCAGGAAGCAGAGACTGAAGTTGGGAGTGCTCTCAAATATGAGGCTTTAAGGGCCCCAGTCACTCAGCCAAGAGTTTTAGGATCCCAGGAAGCAAAAGCAGAGATTTCAGGAGTACAAGGGTCAGAGAGTCGAGTTCTGAGCGTCCAGGAGGAAGAGGCTGGGGTTTGGAGGATGTCAGAGGGAAAATCTGGGGCTTGGGGGGCCCAGGAAGCAGGGATGAAGGTTTTAGAGTCTCCAGAGAACGAATCTGGTACTTTTAAGGCCCAGGAAGTGGAGGCTGGGGTCCTGGGAAATAAGAAGGGGAAAGAAGCTGAGGGAAGCCTCGCAGAGGCCAGCCCGCCCGAAGCACAGGTGGCCAGTGGGGCAGGGGCTGGGGCACCCAGGGCCTCTTCCCCAGAAAAGGCTGAAGAGGACAGGAGGCTGCTGGGCAGCCAGGTAGGGATGGGGGCCGCCGAGGGCCCAGTCTGCTGCTTCCCACTAACCTGGGGCTGAGCGAACGGCGGCTCTGCATGGACCCACCTGGTGGAATGGGATCGGGTGGGGTGCGGGGCTCAGCTTGAAGGAGCCCCCTCATCCCTTCCTTTCTCAGGATGCCCTGGTTCTCCTACCCCATCTTCCCTGGGCCGCATGGAGCTGGACACCTTTAAGCTGATTTTCTGGGCTGACCTTGAGGTCTGGCTGCTGGTGACCTCTGATCTTGTCTGGGGGCCACTGACCTTTTAGGTGACCTTGGCAGATAACCCTGCATCTGAAAACCCTTTTACCTGGCCCCAAGGCTCTGGCCAGTGGTCTGTGGTGACCCCTGCAAGCTCAGAGATGGGGCTGTTTTGTGCCAGGCATGAGCTTCCCCAAGAGGCAGAGGGCACAGAGCCCATTTATACATTCCCTAAGCCCACCCCTGTGTCCCCAGGCAACACCTGCCGTGGTCAGCTCCAGCCAGTCCCTGCTGGAGTGGTGCCAGGCAGTCACCGCTGGCTACCGTGGTGTTCGAATCACCAACTTCACCACATCCTGGCGCAACGGCTTGGCCTTCTGTGCCATCCTGCACCGATTCTACCCAGACAAGATGTGAGCTGCCAGAGGGGTGGGAATGGATGGGGGAGCCATCAGGGAGGGCAATGTGGACCCAGTCTCTGACCAGCACTCTCTCTGCAGTGATTATGCCTCCCTAGACCCACTCAACATCAAGCAGAACAACAAGCAGGTGAGATGGGATGGGGGGCTGCCTGGAGGGAAGGAGGGTCTAGAGAGCCAGGCTTTCAGTGTCAGATTTGGATAAGGTGGGCTGCTGGACCCAGCAGTGGCTTCTGGAAGTTCTGCCACTTTTTACCCGTTTCGTCATTAAATTGTTTGTTTTCCTTATTTTTGTTTGTTTGTTTTAAAGCGTTTTTCCTCCCTTAGATGGTTTTTCCAAAACCACACTTTGGTAACGGGGCGGACTGTGTGCCGTTGCTAAGCAACGCGAGGGCGGGCCCTGTTGCTGGATTTCCCTTGTTAGGAGGGGGCGGTGTTGCTAGGCAAAGCCTGGGGTGCCAATCCCGGGGACCCCCTCCGTGGGGCGGCACTGCAGCGTTGCTGGGTGGCGCGGGCCACTGCCGCCGCTGACCCCGAGCGCACCCTTCCCCCAGGCCTTCGATGGCTTCGCGGCTCTGGGCGTGTCGCGGCTGCTGGAGCCAGCGGACATGGTGCTGCTGTCGGTGCCCGACAAGCTCATCGTCATGACGTACCTATGCCAGATCCGCGCCTTCTGCACCGGGCAGGAGCTGCAGCTGGTACAGCTGGAGGGCGGCGGCGGCGCCGGCACGTACCGCGTGGGCAGCGCCCAGTCCAGCCCGCCCGACGACCTGGACGCCGGAGGCCTGGCGCAGCGGCTGCGCGGTCACGGGGCCGAGGCGCCCCAGGAGCCCAAGGAAGCCGAAGACCGTGCGGACGGGGCGGCCCCGGGGGCGGCCTCCAGGAACGCGGACACGGGCCGCGCCTGCAAGGACAGCGGGGCCGAGGTCCCCCGAGAGGCGCGACCCGCGGAGGTCCCGGTCGAGGGGCTGGTGAACGGGGCGGGGGCGCCGGGCGGTGGCGGCGTGAGGCTGCGACGGCCCTCGGTCAATGGGGAGCCCGGGCCGGTGCCCCCGCCCCGCGCGCACGGCTCCTTCTCCCATGTGCGCGACGCCGACCTGCTCAAGAAGAGGCGCTCAAGGCTGCGGAACAGCAGCTCCTTCTCGGTGGACGATCCGGACGCCGGAGCCGCGGGAGCTGCGGGAGCTGCGGCTGCAGTGAGTGTCAGGGCTCCTTTCCTCCCCGGGAAGCTGGGCAGAGAACGGGGCGAGTCCCTAGGGGCCCCAAGGACAGAGCCGGCGCGAAGGTGACGGTTTCAGAGTGGCGGGGCTTGGCTGGACCCGGGAGGGGCTTTCTGATCAGAGGGACCCTGGTGCTGTGGAAGAGTCCTCTGGTGTGGTAGTGAGCTCCCTGTTAGGGGACGCATTCAAGCCCGCCAGGCAGGGTCCCGGGCTTTGCCGCCAGCCTGGGATAAGTGCTGAGGGTTTTTAGTGCTTGGCACTTGGTGTGGGGAATCACAGGCTGCAGTAGGAAGTTCCCGCAGGATCCACATTCCTGGCCCTCCGCCCAGCGCTTGGGAGGCTGGAAGGTGGGTTTGGGCATTTCTTTCCCTGCAGGTGGCTCATCATCAACCAGCAGCCACCCTGCCCCGTAAGCTGGGTGCAGACTATCTGTACTCAAGAAGGATTCTCCAGGGCTTCCCAGCCCCAGGACTCTGGCATGCATCTTTAACCCCAGATGCTGGAGACCAGTCTCCCCTTTTCTTACAATGGAAGGTTGGAGATGGGAGATCCTGAGGGCCCATGTCCCTGCTGTCATCCCCTATGGGTTGCAGGTCATCTCCTAGAGTGTCATGTCACTGTGCTGAAAGGGGCATGGTCCCAGAAAGAGCAGGGACTTGCTCAGTGACCCACAGCTGCTGGAGTCCAGGACACGGGTTTTCCAGCTGGGGTCCCAGCACTGCCCCATCCTGCCTGTGAACCAAGGGGCAGCTCTGCCAGGCTGCTGCAAACCTTCAGGTGTCCAGGAGTGACCCCTGCGTTTGAAGGAAAGGAGTGAATTCATTGGGAAAGCTTTTCTGGAAGAAGCCACCATTTGAGCTAGGTGCTAGGTTGATAAGATGGCCAGGTTTTTCCCAGGTGAAAAATGAGTGGGGTTCTCTTTTTTTTTGAGAGTGGAGTCTGGCTCTGTCGCCCAGGCTGGAGTGCAGTGGCCGGATCTCAGCTCACTGCAAGCTCCGCCTCCTGGGTTTACGCCATTCTTCCGGCCCATCGCTCTCGAGTAGCTGGGACTACAGGCGCCCGCCACCTCGCCCTGGTGTTTTTTTATTTTTAGTAGAGATGGGTTTCACCGGTTGCCAGGAAATGGTCTTGATCTCCTGACCTCGTGATCCGCCCCGTCTCGGCTCCCCAAAGTGCTGGGATTACAGGCTTGAGCCACCGCAACCCGGCCGTGAGTGGGGTTCTCAAATGGTGGCGACCTGCATTAGCAAAAACGTGGGCAAGCAGGAAAGTTCAGGTCTCGTTTAGGGAACTGCCAGCCATCTCCCAGAAGGTCCATAAGTGGCAATGAGGCTAGGCTGAGAGCAGGAGTCCTGGGTGTAGGGTCAGAGGCACAGCATTGAGCCTGTGAGTGAGAGACAGAGGGCACGGGTGATGCCCGCCTGTAGGAGATATGATACGCAGGAGTCAAGAGGATGAGGCCAGCTTTGGCCCATCTGTTGGCCTCTGGCCACAGCCCCATTAATGTGTGTCAGTGGTTCTTTAAATCTTAAAGGGGAGGTGCCAACCTATGCCCCTCTGGGTCCCAGTTCCAGCATCTGGCCTTTCCAAGTCAGGCCTTCCCTCAACTCTTGTCTCACAGGAGATGTCTGACCCATGGGGCTGGAGGGGACTCCTCATTGGCCACCCCCATCCCTCATGCCCATTGTGTGCAGTGGGAGGTGGTCTGACCTGGCCCGGCCCTTGGGAGCTCCCAAAGTCCTGGTCTTCCTCGAGGAGGGGCCAGACATGAGGAATTTGAGGCCGGGTACCGTGGCTCATGCCTGTAATCCCAGCGCTTTGGGAGGCAAAGGCGGGCAGATCACGAGGTCAGGAGATCGAGACCATCCTGGCCAACATGGTGAAACCCTGTCTCTACTAAAATACAAAAAATTAGCTGGGCATGGTGGTACAGGCCTGTAGTCCCAGCTACTCAGGACGCTGAGGCAGGGGAATCATTTGAACCCCGGAGGCGGAGGTCTCAGTGAGCCGAGATCGTGCCACTGCACTCCAGCCTGGCGACAGAGCATGACTCTGTCTCAAAAAAAAAAAAAAAAAGAGGAATTTGAGTTAGACATGAGGAAGCACTGAAATTCCCATGAGGCCTGGCATGAGGAAGCTCCGCTGCTGCTGAGGCTGGATTTCTCCACTCTCCTGCCTTTGCCTGTCCCGTCAGCTCAGCACTCTCTATGTGCCTGGCCTGCCCATGGGCTCTTACAGTGTGTATGAGCCTTTTGCAAGGTGGCATTGAGGCTCTCTGCAGATTGCTGTCAAAAAGAGGGGAGCTGTGTGTTTCCTTAGATTCCTTTCTAGAAGCCCTGCAGCTCCCAGGTCACACAGGGCTGGGCTTTCTCCCATTTTACATACAAGGACACAAACAATGGCCCCATGGGTGTGACTGGCCCCGAGGCACACAGCAAGTTGGTGGCCAAGCTCAGAAAAAAAGTTTTGGGTTAGACAACCCTGGGTCCTAGACCAGACCCTTTAGGAGCCTCATCTCTGACCCTCAGTTTCCTCATTTGTAAAGCGGGGAGGGTCATGGTCCCTGCCTCCGGGGCTGTTGGGAGGATGCGGTGAGTCAATGCACGGAAAGTGCTTTAAGTGCCGGGCACAGAAACTCTTGGTAGATATGAGCTGTTGTTATTAGTCAGTGTACCCCGGGTGTATTTTCTGGGCCCAGCTCTGTTTGAGGGGGAGACATGGGAAACCAGCAGCTGTGACGGGGTGAGTGGGGGTTGGAGCTGTGATGGGAGAGGCCATGGGAGCAGCATCTGCCCAGGCTGGGGATCAGAGGAGGCTTCTGGAGACATGGAAGTCAGGGAGGGCGGTGGGAAGAGTGTGGGGGCCCCGGCAGGGGGTCTCTGGAGGAAGTAGGGCTGGGCTGGGTCATGGAGGTCACGTTGGTACCAGGCAGCCCAAGATGGAGGCTGACTCCAGGCTGAGAAAGCTATTTTGGGAACTGAAAGTCGGTCACTGTGGCCAGGGGGCGGTGTCTAGGCGTGGCTCAGGGTGGTAGGAACATTGAGGCTGAAGCTGCCTGAGGCTTTGGCATGAGGCTGGGGGACTGAGCAGAGGTGTGAAACAGTGACACCTAAAAGGTGGGGGGAGTGTCAGAGAGGCCTCGGTTTCAGCTTGAGTCAGCAGGCAGGCCATGATGGTGGCTGGTGGGAAGCCACCACTGCCCCAGGCCCAGAGAGGATGGCCCCTGAGCCAGGGATGTCCAGGGCTGCCTCTCGGAGACGTACAGGTGGGAGTGAACATGGGTGGCTCAACCACTGTCCCTGCCCCATGACCCTGACACAGGTCAGATGACCCAAACTTGGGGGGCCAGGTCAGGAGAGCAGTTGAGGGGCCAGGCTGTCAGCTGAGCCGCAAGTTGGAGACCCCCAGCACTAACAGTCCCAGCAAGTCACTAGGGGCGGGTAGGCACATGGGGTCAGCCCTGCCCTTCCAGGCTAAAATTCGGAGATCCAGCCAGCCTGACTTGTCCTGTGTGTGTGAGCGTGCAGCAGCCGCTCCTGGGTGCGGGAACTGAAAATGCAGCAGGGCACCCCCTTTTGGCCAGGATGTGGAGGTGCTGGCTCGGGAGGGTCCGGGTCTGGGAAGCCCTGAGGACAGAAGGGGAGGGAGCCTGGGTGGGGCCTCTGCAGGAGGCAGGGCTGGGCTGGATCACACTGATGGGGCCATATCGGGTGAGTGCAATGGTCACTGCATGGGGCCCTGGCCATGATGGGAAGCCAGCACTAGCTGACAGAAGTCAGAAGTGGCCTGAGGGAGTTCCATGGAGGAGTCGTCGAGGCTGGGCGTGGTGGCTCACACCTGTAATCCTAGCACTTTGGGAGGCTGAAGTGGGCGGATCACCTGAGGTCAGGAGTTCGAGCCCAGCCCGGCCAACATGGTGAAGCCCCATCTCTACTGAAAATACAAAAATCCCCGTGGCAGGTGGCTACTTGGGAAGCTGAGGCAGGAGAATCACCTGAACCAGGAGGTGGAGGTTGCAGTGAGCCATGACCCTGCCACTGTACTCCAGCCAGGGTTACAGAGCGAGACTCCGTCTCAAAAAAAAAAAAAAAAAAAAAGAGAGTGGGGAGGAGAGGCCTGGGCTGGGCCCTTCAAAGGCTCTCACCCTGTGAGGCCGGAGCTCAGCCCAGCCCCAGGAGGGGAATTGGGAGGCTCGGAGCCTAGGTGTGGATGGGCCCAGGGCCACAGGGCCAGGAAGGATGAAGGCCGTGGCCTTTGCTTGAGGAGGCATTTTCCCTGGAAGGAGGTGGGCCCAGGGATTCTGTGCATGCAGGACTAGAGGAGGGGCAGGGTCGGGCAAGGGCTGGGGTCAAGGACCCCCCCTCCCCTCTGTGTGAGTGGCTCTGGCTGGCCCCAGGCCCAGGCTGGCGGGAAACCCCTCCCAGCCCTCACTGGCCCCTTCTTCCACAGGAAGGCCCAGCCCCTGACCCCAGCTCTGCCCTGGGCCCACCCACAGCTGCAGCCTCTCAACAGCCCCCTGGTGAGTAGCAGGAGTGGTGACCATCTCAGTTCAGGCTGTTCACAAAGCCTGGACTGGGGACTTCCTGGGGATGGGTGGTGGTTAGGGGGTGCCTTATCATCATCTCTGTCTGCAGGTGGGAGTCCCCTCTCGGAGGAGCCACCCCCAAGCCCAGGGGAGGAGGCTGGGCTGGTAAGGAGGGCTAAGTGGGAGGAGCTGATGGTTGAGCACCTCCTATTCAGGGCCTGGGCTGAGTCCACCCTGTTCTCTGCCTTTTCCACCCCAGCAACGGTTCCAGGACACAAGTCAGTATGTGTGTGCAGAGCTGCAGGCCCTGGAACAGGAGCAGAGGCAGATAGATGGGCGGGCGTCTGAGGTGGAGACGCAGCTGAGGAGCCTTATGGAGTCAGGTGGGGCATGCATCTGGGGGTCCCTTCCCCAACACGTCACTAGGTCTGCCCGGCCCTGCAGCTGTTCCTGACCTTGGGAGGAGCTGGGAAGAGGCACGGCTGGCATCAGCGTTCCCATTTTACAGCCAGGCATGCTGAGGCCCTGAAGTGGCTTCCTTGAGGCACCCAGTTCTGGCTTCTGGGATGTCACAAGGGAGCAAATCCCCTCCTCCAACCCCCAGCTGCCCTACACTGATACTGGGGGCAGGGGGCAGGCCTGGTGACTGTCCCTGTCCAATGCAGGTGCCAACAAGCTGCAGGAGGAGGTGCTGATCCAGGAGTGGTTCACCCTGGTCAACAAGAAGAACGCTCTTATCCGGAGGCAGGACCAGCTGCAGCTGCTGTGAGTGCTGGCCCCGGGCCAGGAGAGCAGAGGGACTCTCAGCTACTTTGGTTAGGGTTCTTCACTACTTTCTTCTTCCTACAGAGATCTTTTTGACAAATGATTCCTCCTCCATCTGACTGTTTTTGTCCTAACCAATTTGCTGCTTAAAGTGTAATACTGGCTGGGTGCAGTGGCTCCCGCCTGTAATCCCAGTACTTGGGGAGGCCGAGGCAGGCAGATCACCTGAGGTCAGGAGTTCAAGACCAGCCAACATGGTGAAACCCCATCTCTACTAAAAATACAAAAATTAGCCAAGTGTGGTGGCATGTGCCTGTAATCCCAGTAACTTGGAAGGCTGAGGCAGGAGAATCGCTTGAACCCGGGAGGTGGAGGTTGCAGTGAGCCGAGATCAGACCATTGCACTGGGCAACAGAGCAAGACTCTGCCTCAAAAAATAAAAATTAAAAAAAAATTAAGGATAAAACTCTTAAATTAGAACTATTTTTACTAATAAGAAAACCGGCTGGGTGCGGTGGCTCACGCCTGTAATCCCATCACTTTGGGAGGCCGAGGCGGGCAGATCACAAGGTCAGGAGATGGAGACCATCTGACTAACACAGTGAAACCCCGTCTTTACTAAAAATACAAAACATTAGCCCGGTGTGGTGGCGGGCGCCTGTAGTCCCAGCTAATGGGAAGGCTGAGGCAGGAGAATGGCGTGAACCCTCCCGGGGTTCAGAGACTGTAGTGAGCCGAGATCGGGCCACTGCACTCCAGCGTGGGCAACAGAGGGAGACTCCGTCTCAAAAAAAAAAGAAAGAAAAGAAAAAGAAAACCGAGGCCCAGGAAGTTGAGGGCTGAATTCCCCAGTGTGACCCTGTTCCTTTACAGTAAGGAAAACAGAAGCCCAGAGAGAGATGATCTGGTTCCCATGTGGGGTCCAAAGCCACTCTGCGGCCATTGCCTTTGTCATCCTGCTGGGTGGGGACGGCTCTGCCTCCCTTTTGCGTTTGGGATCATTTTTAAGAGTAACTGTAGCCAATACTTCCTGTTTATGAGTGTTCATGCAAATAATCCTTCAGGGGTCCTTCGGGGTGGGGGGGGCAACATAAACACCCAGCAATTGGAGAAAACAGAAGAAAAGAGATAATGTGGTCTGGAGACTGGAGGATAGCTCTGCGGTCAGCCCTGCCCTCCCTGGGAACTGCTGGGGAGGTGGGATGGGGTCAGGGAGTGGCCAGAGCCCTGGGCACTCTCTCCCTATGCCGCTTTTCCTGACCTGCCACCCCCCTGCACCGTCCAGCATCGAGGAGCAGGACTTGGAGCGAAGGTTTGAGCTGCTGAGCCGCGAGCTGCGGGCCATGCTGGCCATCGAAGGTGGGACATGGGCTCAGGGGGCAGGAGGCAGGACAGAGCCAGGGTAGAGGCGGCACAGCGCCGGGCCCGCGCCTCCTGACGCTTAGCCGCTTCGACCCTCAGACTGGAAGAAAACGTCTGCACAGCAGCACCGAGAGCAGCTCCTGCTGGAGGAGCTGGTGTCGCTGGTGAACCAGCGTGACGAGCTGGTCCGGAACCTGGACCACAAGGAGCGGATGTGAGTGGCGCTAGGCGGCGCTGGGAGTTGGGAGGGTCCAGGACATGCTCCCGCGGAGGGTTGGTGTGGACCCCGCCCAACGCTGCACTGACTCGAACCCATTCCCCCCAGCGCCCTGGAGGAGGACGAGCGCCTGGAACGCGGCCTGGAACAGCGGCGCCGCAAGCTGAGCCGGCAGTTGAGCCGGCGGGAACGCTGCGTGCTGAGCTGAGGCCACCGGCCTGGGTGGTCCATAATTTTTCGCACCCCCGGCGTCCGCCGCTGCCCTGGGCCTGCGCTGCGGAGGACCCGGCCGTCCCGGATACCGCGCGCGTGTCCGCTAGGGGCCGCCGGCGCGCTTCCCGGGACGGGGCAGGGCGGATCCTGGACCCCACGGGCGGGGCGGCCGCCGTATTTATTTGTCACCGAGTGTGTGTGTGCGCTCGCGGCGGTGCGGGGTCCTCCCCGACGGCACGGCCGGGCCGGCAGCCTCGGGGAGAGGGATGCCTGGGCACTGCCGCCCCTCGCCGGCTTGCCCTCCTGTTCTCCAGAGCAATAAAGTTGGACGAGGCTACCCCAGCGCCCGGCCTTTTCTCCGCTCCACCTGGGCTCTCAATAGGCGGAGGAGAGTGGGCCGAGGCTGAGGAGGGCGGCTCTGCCATCCTAAGCCGGTTGGTGCGGCTTCGAGGTTCCCAGGGCCAGCGGAGGCTGGACCTCGGCCTTCCCCAGATGGTGGCCAGGGGCTCAGGGAAGTCCCATTAGAAATACTTAAAAACAGCCGAAATGGTTGCTCATTTTATGATTAACACAGTATTCCCCGAGGCCTCCCGCCCACCCCCACCGCGGCCCCATCTCCTGATTCTTCCCCAACCACTCTTGGCTGCTTCCTCCTTAGGTGCCTGCCACCTTATGGGAGCTGAACTCGGTCACCTGACGCTTCAGCAAGCAGGGGCTTGTCCTGAAGCTGGGGCTGCGGGGGGCAGGGTGCTCAGAGCCAGTTCATCCTGCTCTAGGATGCCACCTTGGTTCTCAGCAGTCACAGGACTACTGGGCCTGAAGAACTTCCCCATGGCACGGACCTGTGGCAGCTCAGAGAACGTCTCCACGGCCAGCAGCATGGCCAAGAGTCCTAGCAGCAAGTAACCTGGGGAGGAGAAGGTGCTGGGGCAGCGCCTGGGTGCTGGTGATACTCCCTGCCCACCTCCCAACACGGTGACCTGCCCTGGCAGCTGGCGCCACTCACCACCTCCCAGAGCTCTTCAACTACCCCTCCCACATCGTGCCCAGGAGTGGGGTCCCTCCACCTGCAAGGCCCAGTCCCCCCAATGATTTATGGGAGTTCTAGTCCAGGCTCCTCTTCCCCCTTCCCCCACACGCTCTTAGGTGGCTGGACTTACCAAGAAGTGCGAGCTGGCCCAGGTGGTAAATCACAGGGTGCAGGCCGCGGCCGTGGCCGGGCAGCAGGTCCCCCAGGCCAATGGTGCTGAGCGAGCTGAAGCAGAAGTAGACGGCCCCCAGCAGGCTGCAGTCACCCTGAAGGCCCCACAGCACCAGCGCTAGCAGCAGCACAAAGCTGCTGGCCACCAGCAGGCCCAGTGCAACTGCCTGCAGCAGCGCAGCCCTGGCCGGCGACAGCTGCCAGTGGACCTACCCAGGCACCTGGGCGGCTGAGCGCAGGCAGCAGGCAGTGGCGCAGGGTGGCCACGAGAGCCAGGGAGGCTGGCAGCCCCAGGGCTGCATAGACCATGCAGAAGGCCTTTCCGCCTGGTGATAGTGGGGCCATGTGGCCATAACCTGGAGAAGAGACAGTCAGTGGACAGTGAGAGCTCTGAGTGCCATGTCTGCTGGGGTCCCTGCCTACCCCAATACCGCCTTCTGCAGAAGGCTGCCCTCTGGTGGCCTTGAACTGGCCAGGTCCAGGTTCTAGCTGACTCTGCTCCTCCTTGGTCAGGGGATCCCTTACCCTCTCTGGGCCATTTTTCTTTTTTGGGAAATGAAAGGATGAAAGAAGACAGTTTCTCAAGCCTTTTGTAGCTGGGACAATTCTGAGAACTGCACTGTCCTTAACAGATACTCCTGATTCCACAGCTGGTGGAATATCATCCACTCTTTCCCCAAATGTGTGTCAAGTCCTGTGTGCCAGGCTTTGTGCTGGTATCCGAGTCAGCGCAGGCCCTGCCAGCTCTGGTGGGGGAGTTGGGCAGGAAGATCACGAAGGGCTGCAAAGAGGCAGCATGGAGGAGAGAGGGCATGTGCCAGGTGGGGAGGGGTGGGAGCGTGGGGTGTGCTGGGAGAACAGCATCAGCTAATACAGAGCTGCAAACGCACATGCCTATTGGAGCCAGATGTGAGACAAACAGGAGTGGTGGGGACAGGGGTGCACTGCAGAGTGTGAGCTGTTTCCAAAGGGCAGGCCCCATTCTGCTCCTGTGAGGATGTTGCCTTGCAGGGATTCTGGCTCAGTGTGAGTAGGTTTCCTGATTTTCCAAAAGAAGTTGGAAATACAGGCTGGGCACAGTAGCTCACACCTGTAATCCCAGCACTTTGGGAGGTTGAGGTGGGTGGATCGCTTGAGGTCAGGAGTTTGAGACCAGCCTGGCCAACATGGCAAAACCCCGTCTCTACTAGAAATACAAAAATTAGCCGGGCATGATGGTGCACGTCTGTAATCCCAGCTACTCAGGAGGCTGAGGAAGGAGAATCGCTTGAACCCAGGAGGTGGAGGTTGCAGTGAGCCGAGATCGCACCACTGCACTCCAGCCTGGGTGACAGGGCCAGACTCTGTTTCAAAAAAAAAAAAAAAAAAAAGTTGGAAATACAAGTTCCAATTCAAAAAATACTGGGACACTTTGTGGGGCAAAAAATACGAAAACCCAGGGCTGTGGGTCCTGTTGCTGCTTTTCCCTGGGCACGATTTCTCTGCAGAACTCCCTCATCCCTGTCTGTGCCCTCCTGCTCTGCGAGCATCTCATGCCAGCTTCCTCCTCTATCTTCCCTCACTCCTCCACCTGAGGCCATGGTCCTGATCTGTCCTTCCCAGGTTCCTTCTATTTGCTTCCATCTAAGAATCCATTCCACTGTCTTGTCTCCCCTACCTGGCCACAGGCTGTGGCATCTGGGCAGCTCTCCTGGGTCTCAAAGGGTGCCTGGGGTGGGACTGGGGAGGCCCCACCCTTCCTGGCAGCTGAAGTGGAGGCACCAGTTGGGGTGTGTTGGTGGGGAGCCCCAGCTGTGATGTCGGGCCTCACAGCGCCTGGGCTCCGTCTGGCTCTTTGGGGCTGAAGGAAGGGCTGCATGAACCCCAGGGAGCGATGGCCTCAAGAGCTGTGCCCCCTGACTTGGCTGCCAGGCTCTCTTACCTGTGGTGGTGAGGATGCTGGCAGTGAAGAGCAGGGCTGAGGGAAGGTCCCAGTTCCTGGCCTCTGAACTGTTGCCCAGGCTGGAGACCCTATGGGCCTGGGTGGCCAGGGCAGTGCCCAGCAGCTTTTCCAGTGCTCCAGGTGGCAGGCAGGCCCTATGCTCTGCCTGGAATGCTGCCAGCTCTGCCCTGAGCTCAGCCTGAAGCCTGCATGCAGGAGGCCCCTCCAGGGCCTGGAACAACACAGCCCCAAGCCCCAGGGTCAGTAAGTGGGCCACAACCAGGAGCCCATATCAGGCCCAGGGCCTTACACCCCCCATGGCAGGCTGCTGGGCTGCTGTGGGAGCTGGCGGCTCCACCTCAGGCACCTGGGAACGGCTGGGCAGGGCTGGGCCAGGAGGAGGTGCTCTGTGGGTAGCTGGGACCTGGCTGGGGTGGCTGGGGTGTGAACAGAGGGAGGTGAGCTGCCTCACCCCTCCCAGGTTCTGGAGGCAAGACATTTGCCCATTTCACAGCAGCTGGGACGGTGGGGATGGGTGGAGGAAGGTGGCTGCAGTGAGGGGAGGAGGTGGAGGAAGCTGAGGCCTAGACAGGACCTCACACTTATTCAAGGTCCTGCTCACTCAGGCACCCATACTGCATTCATTCATTCATTCAGCAAGTGCTTAGGGAAGAGGACAGGCACAGGTCCTTTCCTTCCTGGTGTTTACACAAGAAACCTCTTAGCAAAGAAACTGGCAACCTCTCATTGTCATGAGTTCCATGAAGGAAATGCCCTGGGTGATGGGAGAGCCTGTAGGGAGCGGGGGTTATCTCACTGGGAAAGCTCCGCTAAGGAGGTGACATTTCAGCTGGGGAGTAAGAGGCCGGTGAAGGTAGGAATGAGCTTGGGGTGTGAGAGGAACAGAGGGCTGGCTGTGGCGGGGGAGAGTTGGGGGTGAAGGGGGGATAAGGACACATGACAAACGTGGTCCAGGGAGACCTACGCTGGGCTACTGTAGGCGTCCTGGATGGAGTGATTTTGGCCTGGGTAGTATGGTGGGAGAGGAATGGTGGCAGCTGGGAAGGATCAGGTGAGGGCAGGGGTAGGAGGTAGGGAGAGGACTCCAGGGTGCCCAGAGTACCCGGGCACATGATACCCTTGAGCCTGATTGCCAGTTCTTCCCGAGAACCCTTTGTGCCTGCCCTCCTGACTCCCTGCCCCTGAACTATAGAGACAGTCTGGCTGCCATGGGGCACCTGGGAGAGGGCAAGCGGGGCCTGGGTTCCAACTCCTCTAACCTCAGAGGGGCTGAGGACAGAGGCCGAGGAAGGGACCCTGCCCTTGGATATGGTGTGGGAGTGCCAGAGCCCCCATGGCAGTGTGAAGAGAACTGTCAGGGGTGCCAGATGCCATGGCAAGTCACGATGCTTGGAGATGGGTGGAAGTTACTACTTTTTATCTTTTTTGAGACAGTCTTGCTCTGTCGCCCAGGCTGGAGTGCAGTGGCACTTGGTTAACTCAACCTTCGCCTCCTGGGTTCAAGCTATTCTCCTTCTCAGCCTCCCAAGTAGCTGGGACTACAGGCACCTGCCCACCACGCTGAGCATTTTTTTTTTTTTTTTAAGTGGAGACGGGTTTCACCATATTGGCCAGGCTGGTCTCGAAATCCTGACCTGTGATCCGTCCGCCTCGGCCTCCCAAAGTGCTGGGATCACAGGCATGAGTCACCGCGCCAGCCTACACTTTTTTTTTTTTTTTTGAGATGAGTCTTGCTCTGTTGCCCAGGCTGAGAGTGCAGTGGCGTGATTTTGGCTCACTGCAACCTCTACCTTCCAGGTTCAAGCAATTCTCCTGCCTCACCTCAGAGTAGCTGGGACTACAAGGCATGCACCCCCATACCTGGCTAATTTTTGTGTATTTTTAGTAGAGAGAGGTTTCACTATGTTGCCAGGTTGGTCTTGAACTCCTGACTCATTGTGATCCCACGGGGGCCTTGCGCTCCCCAAAGTTGCTGTGATTTACAGGAGTGAGCCACCACACCTGGCAGAGAAAAGCCTTGAATGACTCACCAAGGCTGGTGGATCTGGTCCCAGGAGAGGGATGCAGTGCAAGGCAAGGAAATGCCTATTGCTGGGGCATCAGGACACCAGGGTTGCATGATAGGTTGGGTCACCTGGTTACCTCCAAGAAAGGTGACAGGCTACATGTGGGGAGACAGCTTTTGAGTTTATTTGGCTT